TGATTGTGGTGTATGATCTTTTTGATGTATTGATGAATATGGTTTGCTAATATTTTCTTGAGGGTTTTTGCATCTATGGTCATCAGGAATATTGACCTATATATATATATTTTTTTTGCAATGCCTTTGTCTGGTTTTGGAGTTGGAAAAATGTTGACTTTTTAAAAATAAGCTTGAAAATCTTCCCTCCTCTTGAATTTTTTGGAATATTTTGAGAAGGATAGGTGTTAATTCTTCTTTGAATGTTTGGCAAAATTCACTGTGAAGCCACCTGGCCAGGACTTTTGTTTTTGGAAGCATTTTGATTACTGATTTGATTTTGTTGGCAGTCGTTAGTCTGCTCAGATTTTCTGGTTCCTCTTGATTCAGTTTTGGAAGATTACATGTTTCTAGGAATTTGGCTGTTTCTTCCAGATTCTCCAATTGTTGATATATAGTTGTTCATAATATTTTTTTTACCATCTTTTATATTTCTATGGTATCAGTTGTCATTTATCCTCTTTCATTTCTGATTTTGTTTATTTTGGTCCTCTCTTTTTTTCCTTGATGTGTTAAGGAGTTATCAAACTGGCTTATCTTTTCAAAGATGCAGCTCTTTGTTTCATTGATCCTTTGCACTGTTTTTTTCTTAGACCAGAGGGGTCTGGTGTCTGCTGGAACTTTCTGTTGGGTATGCCATTTGTGGAGCTAATGGAGTGGTACTGTGTTGTGGTCTGAAGCTGGCCATCCAGTGAGTTGGTTCTGGGGCCTCTTGAGAGGGATTCTGGTGCATGTCAATCTTAGATACTGCTTAAGACTGGCCTGGGGCCACCTGTTAGGAACTACAAAGCAATCCACTGTTGGCAGCTGCTTGAGTTGGGCTTGGATGCTGTGGGAAAGGTTACAATGAGAACCAACGCTGGCTGCCCTGTGGCAAGTCAGACCTATCTCTGTCAGACAGCTACTCATAAGGCCCAACCACTGAAAGAGCCTCAGGTGGAACACAATTTGGGTGAGTCAGGGTCTTCATCAGTATGGAGCTAATGAAGTTCACCAGGCTAATGCAGAATTAGGTTAGGCTGTGTAGTAGGAGGTCTCAAAGGAGGTACAATGGTGGCTGTCCTGCTAGCCCACTCACTGAAGCCACCCAATTCAGTTTCAACCTGTATGTCTGGCATTCACTAAGCTTGACTGGAGTTATTTAAGAAAGACTTTAATATGGGTCCAGGCTGGTTGCCGCTGAAAGAGCCTTGACCATAGACAATGGTTGGAGTAGGGTCTTAGGGAGCTAACAGAGTTCACCACACTAATGCAGGTTCATATTTGGCTGTGTATGGAGAGGGCTCAACCTGCGAAAGATGGCTCCAGTCAGCCATGTGGGAGGATTCAACACAGGGACAGTGACAGCTGCCCCTCCATCCTTCGTGTTTAAGTCACACAACTCAGTCTCTCCCTGTGTGTCTCAGGCGCCCCTCCCCCCAACAGCCACCGTCCCTCCTCCAGAACCCAAGGTGAGTACCTGCAAGCAAGAATTTTTGTGCTGGCGCTCTAAGAGGAAGCCTGGGTCTTCAGCAGCCTTCTGTCTTATGCTCTCACTGTCTCACCAGGAGGGAAGAGGACTCTCTGCTGATTTTCACAGCCAGATGTTATATGAGATCCTCTTCCCAGCTCTGGGGTTCCAGACTGGGGAGCTCCCTGTGGAGCTGAGACCTCTCCTCCTCAGGGGACCTCTGAGGCTGAGATATCCATCCAGATTCTCAACGGCCACATGAGGGTATAAGGTCAGCCCCTTTTGCATCTCTGCTCTTTCTACTAATCTCAATCCAACTTCTTCTGTATATCCTTAGTTATAGGACTTCTGTCCAGCTAGTCTTTAGATGGTCATTCAGGATGAGGGATCTATAGTTTAGTTGTAATTTTAGTGTGTTCATGTGAGGAGGTAAGTACAGTGTCTACCTGCTCTGCCATCTTGCCCAGACCCTCTGTTCTTTGATATTTGTAAGACAAATGTCTAAGTCTGCTTCTCCTTAAACTTCCCCACCCCTTGTTGAAATTAGTTGTGATTACCCATACGGTGCAGTAGAGGGGAACCAGACCCTTCCACTATATTCCAGAATGTTGTGATCCTGATACCTCCTTTCTCCTCCTGGCTGAGAGGTAGTGTTAATTGGAACAGTGGTTCTTCCGACGTGCTCGGGCCTCAGCCCAGAAAAACACAACTTTAGAGGAGCAGCATGAAGAGTTCCACTCAAATTACCCAAAAAAGCTTTCTCTGCCCCCTGCCCATTCTTATAGCATTTGCAAACCACTTCTTTAGACATGCACATGCCTTCATGACATTTAGTGTTGTATCAGAAATTTGAGTTCTTGCTCAGCTATCTATTAGAAAGGTCACCTCAGGGCCTGGGATTGAAGATGTATCTGGGGTCACCAACACAGCAGGGACTCTGAGTCCAGAACTTGTTTCTTCCTATTCTGAAGCCTTAATTGAAGTGGAAGAAGTGGACTTGGGTTAGGAATCATCCTCCCTCCTTGTTCCCCAGATCAATCACTCTGAAATTTTTTGTATCTCTTCTACATATACTTGCAGAGCTTATGCTCACTAGTTAAGAGATGTTTAAAATGTAAGTAAAATTCTTGCTACATTAAGAACTACATTTCTTGTTTCTTGTTGTTCTCCTTTAATCAGATCAAATCCCTCTACTTACTACCACCTCCAAGCTATAGAAATAAATGAACACGTGGATAATCACCATAGACAGAGCCTCTACCTCCTCTTTCAGTCCCACACCCTGGATCCCTATCATTCATCCCTACCTTCCTCTATTCCCAAGCCTAAAATATCCCTGAGAAAACTACATCTGTTTGTGTTAAGCTTTGTGCTAGACTTATTTGTGAAAGATCAATGTCATGTTCTGAAGATGGATGCATACCTAAGATTACAAAACGGATTTAGCTCTAGTTATTGCAAAGCCATCTTGGCTTTGGTTTCTGCAACTTGTAAAATAAGGGGGCTGGACTATTGCAGAAATAGCAAAAAAAAAAAAAAAAAAAAAAAAAAAAAAGAGTTTCATTTACCAGTTACTTAGTAATGGCTCTCCAGAACTATGATGGAAAGGATTCTGAAGTTACACTCAGACTCAGAGAGAAGGGTTTGAGCAACGATTACCAAGGTTTTTCTTTGGCAAGAACAGGAGAGAAACATCCCTTGCCATCCCAGGATTAGACAATCCTGTAGATTTATTTCAGCTCAGAACTACTGAAAATCTGTATTTTTCCTATGACTCCCTTTTGCAGAATTGACCTGTAGTTTGATGCTTTTGGAGATCCTTCCTCTGTTCCTACTGTCTTTTTAGGAACTATTTAACCTACCTATGATAAGACACCAACTGTTGGTGAGAGCCCAGAGGTCACTGCCAATCACACTGTGTGACTTGGTAAGTCACTTCTACACCTTGGTTCTTTGTGACATGGGAGGAAGAGATGCAAGATGCTAGCTCAGGTCTCTTCCCAAAAAGCAAATCCATGATTCTATTATACTGGAGTCACAGTGCCTTGGTACAAAGAAACAAGTAGCTTACGGTGGATCCAAGGGGTTTTAAAAGGGCTGTAATTTCCATCTCTTCTTCTTCTTCTTTATAGTTATGGGGAAGGTAATGAGCTTATTTCTGCCCTCAGATCTCAGATCATACCCATTGTCTTCCCCTTTCCCTGCCCATTGGATCACATTGGCCTGGAGCAGTTGCATATGTTAAAAGAAACACAAAGTAGAGGCAGAGGGCAATGGTCAGGGAGCGCAATGATGAGTCAAGGATACATTTTGGGGAAAATGACTATTGGAGGAGTCAGGAGGCAGCGAATGTGGTCACGCTCTAAAGATAAATAATAAAAAGAATGGGCTTAGGTTCTTAGATCCAGCAGAAAGTAGAAGAAAAGGGGGTGGGGGGTGGGGGAGAGGACCTGTACATGGTTGGGGCAGATGAGCAGAGTTCAGAGGGCGGACATGGGATATCTGTGTTCTGATCCAGTATTGGCACTGATTTGCTGTGTGACCTCGGGCCAGAGACCTCTTTCCTCTGGTTCTCAGTGTTCTTTACATGTACTGATCAGGGGGGAAATAGAACGAGTTGATTCCTAAGGGCTTTTCAGTTCTAATATTATGCGGGTCCAATTCCAAGCTCCTATAATAGTCTGTATAGACATAGGTGCCTTCAATGTGTATAGTTACGAAAGCAGCAAGAATTCATGTAGAACAGGCTATCCCTGAAGGGAGGGAAGGAGGAGAGGGTGCTTCTGCCTCCCTGACAGACAGAGCACATTAAAGTCTAAAAAGCCTGGGAACACAGGCCAATCATATTTGGGATCCAGTGACTCCAGTGGGGCTTCCAAGGACCTAAGTGTACTGTTGTCTCATCTCCCCCATTTGAATTTAAACTTCAGAGAGACAGAGCTTACTTACTAGAATCTCAGCCTCTTTGAGTTAGAAGTGACTTTAAAGCAGATCTAGTCCCAATCATTCACCCTCTGAACAAGAATTCTGACTTGTCACCAAAATATGGCTCCCACGTGTGGTTGTATACTGCCCCCAAGGGAATTTACATTGTGAATGGTAGGGTTAAAGAATCCTTTCATTCAACCTGGTGGCATGCCCTAGGACCCCAGAGATTTTACAAGACCAAACCACTAGCTAAGGATTTCAATCAACGTGGTTCCCCTAACACTGGTGAGGGTTCATTGGGTGCATGAGACAAGTGTTGGACACATGCTCCTCCCATCTACCACCTGGGTCTGCATAAGGGTTTGAGCATCTATGGGGGTAGAAACTGTTTCTTAGTCAATGGCACTTGCCCCAGTGCTGAGCATAGTGTTTTGTGTGGTGTGAAATAAGAGAAAAATTAAATAAAAGCTAATATTAGTGTCTCCCTGGAAACGAGAGCAGAGCTCTGTACTCAGATGTCTCTTAGCAAGGCCTGCTTACAAGCTAGCAGAACTGTGCTGCCCCCTGTGCTTGGAAAAGGGACTTTTCTTGTGTACTCAACATGAAATGAAACTTAGTGACGTGTATCCTGGGTATAGAAACTGAAACTGCTTTTACCTCTTGCAGCATATCAAGTGAAACAAGAAGTTATTCACTAAACATGAACTCCAAACCTCAAGAGAGAATAATTTTGGATGTTGGGACATGGGAGAAGACATTTCAAGAACTGATTCAGCAGGTGAAACCCCGAGCCAGATGGACCCTGAAGTTGGATGAGACTCTTCAGCCAGACTGTGTGGCCCAAGGGTGGAAGCAATACCAGCAGAAAGCATTTGGCAGGTAGGTGAGAGTTTGCACAAAGGTGAGTCTTCCGAGGCAAAGAGACTCAGCTTAGCATTGACTGATTCCTTTGGGAGCTTGTTAAAAGGACCGGGAGGCTCATTTGGTTGGAGTATCATCCCATACACCAAAAGATTGTGGGTTTGATCCCTGGTCGGGGCATGTACAGGGGGCAACCAATTGATGTTTCTCTCTTTCTCTCTTCCACCCTTCCTCTCTCTCTAAAATCAATAAACATAACCTCGAATGAGGATTAAAAAAAAAAAAAAAAGGAAGAAGAAGAAAACCAAATATCACCAGGCTTTTCATCCTTCTGTGGTCGCAGTGTTCTTTAGAATCTAAATGAGACTTTAAGCCTCCATTTCGCTTGCCTGAGGAAATTTCTTCTTTTATTAGGTTTCCTCCCTAAACAGTCCTAGAAGTCTTGAGGAATACTTTCGTATTCCATAAAGCCACCCTCCTCTTCCCACACCACTTCACGTGTTCCAGACTTCCTCTATCTAGTGCCTTCTACTCTCTCCCCCGTCAGCTCCCACTGGTGCTCCCAGACTGCGGCAGCCGTCCTAGGCTTGTTCCAGATCAGCCCTGGGCTGGGGCCTTCTGTTAACTCCCCAAGACCTGATGAAGGCCAAGCAGTCACTTTGAATATTGCTTTACTGAAAACTCGGGGATAATAAAAGGGAATGGTGCTACAAGAAGGACATCGAAACCCTAGGGCCCGGAGTTTCTAACTACTGTCTCTCTCTTACTGGCCATCTTCCTCTTCAACCTCCAGTGAGCCTCCGAGTGGCAGGAACCAACTTCCTTGCCCATGTCCGGAAAGCCTTTTCTTTCCATGCAGCACCCAGGGACCTCCACTCTGCTTTCCACCTCACCTGTTTTCCTGCTTCCCTGTCTGCCCCGTCCTGCCTCAGGAACCCTCTGGTCCATGCCTTAAGAATAATTAGCCATGCCATGCATTTTCAGACTTCTATTCCCTTGTCCATGATTCCTGCTTGTTTGGAAGACCCTTTCCTTTCTCTCCCCCTTTATTCATCTTTTAAGGGCCAACTCAAGCGCCACCTCCTCCTTAAAGAATTTCCTGGCTTCCCTAGGCAGAACAAGCGTTCTTTCTCCAATCCCAGATGATAATGTATGTACATATTTAATTTATGTATAATAAATTTATTGATAACATATTTATGTCACATATTATAGAAATATGTACAATATAGAAAATGTACATAATATTTTTAGAGGCAGAATCCATTATTGAAATGAAGCCTCTGGGGCTCTGCAGAACAGCTTTCAAGGCACTGGCCAGAGCCTAGGTAGCAGCCCTTCTGTCCTGCTTTCTAAGCCCGTGAGCTGTGGACGTCTCTCTCTCTTACCAGCCAGCGCTCCTTGAGGCACTCCCCCAAACAGGAGGGTGCTTCTCTTGTTCAGTGAGTTGATTTGATAGCCCTTCTGAGATGGGAAAGCAACTTACCATCATACCTTTGGAAAAATATCAACCAGTTTTCGAAAAGCATTTTGTAGTTTACAAAGTACTTTCACATATACTATCTCACTTAATGACGACACTATAATCCTTGAATATTTTTCAGTTGATGGATATAAAAACTGAGGCTTTGAGTAGGGAAGAAAGTGCTTTCTCCAAGGACCCCCTGATGTAAACTATGGACTGGGGTCTCCAACCCAAGTATTATGACCCCAGGTCCTAAGTCAGTTTTTCTAGGTGCAGGACTAGCCATGTTGCTCATTAGAGATGATGTTGTATAGTAGGTAAATAAGCAAGGTTGGCTTCTAAAGAACCAGGGACTATAACATGACTCTACCATTACTTACCTCATAGGTCCTTGAGCAAGCTGTGTCTCCTTTATGACTCAGTTTTGTCATCTGGATATGGGGCTCAATGATGCCTGTGTCAGAGGAGGGCTTTAAAAATGAAATGGTATAGCCCTGGCTGGTGCAGCTCAGTGGATTGAGCGCTGGCCTGCAAACCAAAGGGTCACCGGTTCTCTTCCCAGTCAGGACACATGCCTGGGTTGTGGGCCAGGTTCCCAGTGAGGAGTACATGAGAGGCAACCACACATTGATGTTTCTCTTCCTCTCTTTCTCCCTCCCTCCCCCTCTCTCTAAAAATAAATAAAATTTTAAAAAAGATAAAATGGTATAACACTATAAAGCACCAATTACAGTGCCTGCTTCAAAACAGGTACAGTAGTTATTGTTTATGCATTGTTTCACTTTCTGTGGTTCTAGTTAACCACTGCCAACTGTGGTCCAAAAGTATTAAATGTTAAATTCCAGAAATAAATAAGTTTTAATTCATAATCTGTTTTGAGTAGCCTGATAAAATCTCATGAAGTCCCAATCCAACCTGCCCAGGATGTGAATTATCCCTTTGTCCAACGTCTCCACAGGGTATATGCTCCCCACCCATCAGTCACTTAGTAGCCATTTTGGTTATGAGATCTACTGTCAGGATATCACAGAGCCTGTGTTCATGTGACCCTTATTTTACTTCACAATGGACCAAAGCCCAGGAATGGCAATGCTGACAATTTGGACATGCCAAAGAGAAGTTGTAAAGTGCTTACTTTCAGTGAAAAGGTGAAACTTCTTGACCTCACAAGGAAAGAGAGAAAAAATTATATGCTGAAGTTGCTGTGACTTATTGTAAAAATGAATCTTCTATCCATGAAATTGTGAGGAAGGAAAAAAAAATCTGTGCTAGTTTTGCTGTTGCGCCTCCAGCTGCAAAACTGATGGCCACAGTGCATTGTAAGTGCTAAATTAATATGGAAAAAGAATTACATTTGTGGTTAAAAGACATAAACAAAAATACATCCCAATTGACTGCAATGCGTTGTGCCAGAAAGCTTTGAACCTGGAGGAAGACTTCAGCAAGGGATCCCTGAAACGATGGCCATCAAGCCATTTACTGCAAATAAGGGATGGTCATACAGATTCAGGAATAGGTTTGGTCTGAACAGTATAAAATTGCTGGAGAGTATTGTTATAATTGTTCTATTTTATTACTACTTATTGTTGTTAGTCTCTTACTGTGCTTAATTTATAAACCAAACTTTATCACAGGTATGTATATGCAGGGGTTGATACCATCCATGGTTTCAGGTATCTGCTGTGTGGGGGTCAAATATCCCTGTATATAAGTAGGGACTACTGACCTAGTAAGAGTTTTCTTTGACCACAGTGAGGACTAAATTTTGCTGGGAGATGGCAGAAATGTTTTTCCCTCTGATATAGCCAGAGATGCTTTATTGGCAAAGAAGCAGACTTGGAATCATGTATGGGTGGAGGCACAATGGGTCACAGCAAAAAGCTTTATTTGAAACACAGTTTCTCTTATTTCTATTTGTCAATATCACATACACTTTTTCAAATTGAAAGTGATCTTAGAGACCAGGGCAGGACCATTTCCCTAGGTCAATAATCAGCTGAGGGAAAAACGGGCCTCTTTGTTCTGTCTGCAGATTCCAGTGTTCCTCATGCAAACGAAACTGGGCTTCTGCCCAAGTGCAGATCCTATGTCATATGCACCTGGAGCCCCGGAAGTCCCAGGGTCAGGTGCGTATGCGGCTTTTTTGCCAGAGGTGCCAGAAGTGTTCTCGGTCTCGATTTGAGAAGCCTGAGTTCTCCTCAGAAAGCACCATGAGGATTTTGAACAACCTGGTACAGCGTATTCGGGAGAGATACTACGGAGATGGCATCAAGAAGTATTCAGAGATACCGGTGATCCCGGAGGTGCCTTTGGACGGGTCCCATGACACGGCCAATTGTGAGGCATGTGTTCAGGGCTTCTGTGTACAGAGCTTACAAAACTGCATGACAAAACCATCCAAATGCCCTCCCTCCTACATAGAGATTAGGAGCTCTCTGTCTCACATTGGTGACATATATGGCCAAAATCAAGCTAGCAACAAGTCAGCTGAGGCAAAGGAGACTCAGAAAAGTGGCCTTTCCATCAAGGATAAGAAGTCAGGGCCCAAACATGCCACTGCTGGAACCCAAGTGCCTGGGGCAGGCCCTCAGTGCAAATGGGAGCGAGGTCAACAAACCACAGCAGGGGCAGACCGGCACGCGGTGCGTGGAACGGGTTCTCAGCCCATTCATGTAGCAGGATCACTTCCCCCAGGGTGGAAATACCTACAGCCCACTCGAGCAGTAGACCCATTACCTTCAGTGGAAGCATATTCACAATCCACCCTGAGGACAGGACCCACGGATGCCCCAGAGGACCCTCGGGCTCTAAGGAGAACTGGCCAACAGTCAAAACAGGAGACAGGTTCACAAGCCACACAAGGGGCAGGTCTTCAGGCTACAGAGGGGACAGACCTAAGGTCCACATGGAGAGCAAGCCCCACACGGAGAGCAAGCCCCACACGGAGAGCAAGCCCCACAGCTACACATGGATCCGGGACCCTCAGGGGAGATCCAGTGGCCTCGGGGAGGCTGGAGGGAAGGCTGGAGGGGAATTCACCTAGAGTGCCTGCTCCAGACAGCTCTTACAGATCCTTTACCTTCCTGCCATCACTTAACTCCCTTAAACAGAATTACTTATTCAAGTTAGGCTGTGCCTCTTTTAATACCTGTCGGGCCTTTGTGATGCACAGATACTTCAAATAGAATGATGAAAATAAGCTTGTCTTCTCTTCTTGTCTTAATTTCATGGTAATCAATGAACTAATATAACAAAGAATTTGCTTTGAGACCAAGCAGAATCAAGTTTGTAGACTAAGCACTGGTTTCCTGGACTTCCTTTGTAGGTAGCCTAAAACGTGGCCTAGCTGATAATAGGCCCAATAATAAATATTTGTTGAATGACTAAAAGTTGTTTGTTCATTTATTCACTCATTCATTGATTGGTATCAATATATATAGACTGTATCTTCACAATAATTCGGGGTCATGGGTGTTATTAGAAAGTTACTGTGTAGGCTGAATAATGGTCACCCAAAGATGTTCATGTCCTAATCTCCAGAACCTGTGAATGTGTTACTTTGCATAGCAAAAGGAACTTTGCAGATGTGATTAAGTTAAGGATCCTAAAACTGGGAGATTATCCTGCATTATAAAGATGCACCCAATGTAATCACAAGGGACCTTATAGGAAGGAGGCAAGAGGATCAAAGTTAGGAAGAGGAGGTATAACGATGGAACAAAGGGTTGGAGTGATGAGCTTTGAAGATGGAGGAAGGAGCCATGAGCTAAGGAATGCAGGCAGCCTCTAGAAGCTCATAGACGCAAAGACACAGATTCTTCCATAGAATCTCCAGAAGGAGCCAGCTCTGCTAACACATGACTTAAGTCCAGTGGGACTGATTTTAAACTTTTGACCTCCGGAATTATAAGGCAGTAAATTTGTGTTGTTTTTACACATTAAATTTGTGGTACTCTGTTACAACAACAAGAGGAAACAAATACAGTTATCAAGAGTGCTGCAGGGATCAGGCTATTATGCTCTAAATATGCTCCAGTTTTAACAACAAAAAGAGCATAAATGAATAACATTTCCCTGGCTGGGTGGCTGACTCCGTTGCTTGGAGCATCATACTGTAAACCAAAAGGTTGCAGATTCAATTCCTGGCATGGGACATACCTAGGTTGTGAGTTCAATCCCCAGTCAGGGCGCGTATGGGAGGCAGCCAATTGATGTTTCTCTCTCACATTGATGTCTCTCTCTCTTTCTCTCTAAAAAAATTTAAAAATAAAAATAAAATAAAATGTATGTACCCATCCCCCTGTTCTTTCTCTCCTACTTAAAGCTATTCAATGTTCCCACCCTAAAGAAGTTACCTTTGATTTTTGACCTTGGAGTTATCATATGCTCCCACTTCTTCCAGCATTGGATTGGGAAGCATGTAAGAAAAAACTTGCCAATCATGGGATCTTGAGATGCATGGCTATGTATTTCAGCCCTATTTCCATCTGTCTGCTAGGCATTTCTACATGGCTCTCTTTTCATTTTCTCTTAGGTCCTTCTTACTAGCACTTTCCTTTTTAAAATGCCACTCTCCCCAAACCACCCTACTGAATTTCTGCATTCCTCCTGCTTTTCATACTTTTTGGTTCTTTCACAAAGAACACTGACTTGGGGACTGGACACTCTACTTCTAGCCTGGTTAGGCTGTATGACCCAGGGCAGGTCATTATCCCTTCCTGGGCCTCAGTTTTTCCATCTGTAAAACAGATTAACATCTTCCAATTAAATATAGAGGATTAAACACGCGTATTTCCCTCTGATCTCTCTTGAAATCCCACTGACAATAAAAGGGGGAAAAGGCATCAATACACAAGGGCAAAGAGAATGGGTCAAAGCTAGAAAACTGATGGACTTGTGACAGACAAGTGACTTAGCAGAGTAGAGAAATCTGAAACAGAAGTTAGGTAAGGGAAAACTGAGGTGCAAGGCAATTCATGCAGCACAGTTTCTGAAGGGCTTAAAAACTGTAGGCAGCAAGTAGCTCTGAAGGTGAGACCTCGGAAGGCTGAAGTAGGAGGACTGGTTGAATGCCTGTACCCCAAGTTTCTTCCCCCCACTTCTGAGTGGCCTGGTAACATTCTTAACTTACTCTAGGGGGATTGGGAGCTTATACTCTGAAGACATTGACACAGAGGGTCTCTGGGCTCAGGGACTCAGGCAAAGCTCAGCAATCAGAAACACTGCGGAAGTCTGCATGCTGACTAGTGGGACTCCCTCGACCCACTACCAAACCTAGGAGCCAACCTTATGTCTTACCCACCCAATCCTCACACACACAAGAGAATAAATTGTATCTCTTTGGGACTACTGATCAACTGGAGAGAAAACAATAACATATACTGAAATGGGAGATCATAGGGAGATTCCTCCAATGAACTGACCAACTCAGATAACCCCAGAGTACACCCATCAGATGCTAAGACCCCACAGAGCCTCCAGTAGCTTTTTAGTGCCTCACAATTGCATTTGGACAGATAGCCAAGAGAGTACCAGATATTTGATAAATCCCCTAATGCAAAGACAAAGAAGAAGAAATAAAGGTTAAAAACAGGAAAGCAAAAGGAAAAGAGATGATTCATGGATAAGAAGACCAAAAATATTTAAAAAGTAAAACTAGTATTTATACCTCAGAAAGATAAGAGAAGGTATCACATTTATGAAAAACTAATTGGACATGATCCCCTGGGACAGCCCCAAGTGGGGCATCTCCCTATGGCTGAAGGCAAGTCCTTGGGAGGGTCTCAGCTATAAGCCTGCAGCGGGCCATGCTCCCAGAAGCTGGGGAGATGAGCGCTCTAGTCCTGAAAGAGGGATCTGGGCAGCACACCACAGCCTCCATCCACTGCAATCCACACCCTGGGACACTTGAATCTATTTCCTTGGTATAAAAAGTTCTACGGCACCTGGAAAAGATTCTCCAGTACTTCTTTTTTTTTTCCTCCTCTGAAAAAACAAGCAAGAGGGACATTTAGTGGACAAACTAAGCTCCAACCCCCCACCACTGCATCTGATCGTGGGACGGCAACTGGATATTCATGATTTCCCTTTGATACCCATTCTTGATTCCCCTTACCCTGGCACCTCTGCTGTTAAAATGGCTTCACTAATGAGGTTATCCAGACCTTCATCCTTGAGGAGTTTGGACCCTTGGTCACAAGGCTTTTCTCAGTTTGTGTCATCTGCATTTCTCTATCCACTGTCAAAATTGGACAAGGTACCAGGAAATTCCCTAGTGGAACCCTTGGATGTAAAATATATTCTCCCTACCCACACTGTGTAACAGCAGTCTATTTCCATTGGATGATCAAGAGAGTGACTCTTTTTCTTGCCTGTTGATTTCTTGGCAAAAGATCTCTGAAAAGACCGATCATAGCCAGCCATGGGATTCTTACTGAGTTCCTTAGTGGAAGCATACCCCATCTAGGATTTTAGACCTGCATAATCTTGAGTTATGGCTATGGGACACATAAAAACAGCAACACATTTAATGAGTAATGGTAAACAGACTCACTCCTACTTTCACCTCTTTATTTTCAGACCTATATATTTCACCTGTTATGGGTGGAACACCATATAATTGTCATTGATTTGCGATGTACTGCATCCTGGTGGATGGTGACTCATTTCACAAGATAGCATCTCTGAGCTGTACCACAACCACATCTTTAAGAGGCTATGCCATTAATTTCCCAGGCTGGTGGCTTCTGGGTGATGCTGTATTTGATGAGACCAGGAAACCCCATGGCCTATCACCCCTAATGTAACTCTTTTGCTACAAATTTGGTCATTTATCTAATGTGATATTATGTGATGTATGTTTGTTAGGGCTGTGAGAGAGGATCTGTTCCATGTCTCTCACTTGGCTTCTGGTGGTTTGCTGGCAATCTTTGGAGTTCCTTGGATTGTAGAAGCACTACCCTGGTATCTCCTTTGCCTACCACATGTTGTTCTTCACATGTGTATGTCTTTGTTCCAAATTTCCCCTTTTTATGAGGATACCAGTCATATTGGATCAGGAGCCCTCCCTACTCCAGTAAGACCTCATCTTAATTACATCTTCAACAATTCTATTTCCAAATAAGATCACATTCTGAGATGCTAGAAGTCAGCATTTCAACAGATGAGTTTTGAGGGGACATACTTTGATCATAACATGTGGGATCCCAGGTTTGTGGATCAAATACTCTATAAGCCCTTGGAGACTCATGATGGCTGAAGTCCTGCAAGCAAGGAATACAAGCCCGTAGTCCGTATATGCACTGATTCTAGTGAAGATGAATTACTACCCTTTTCAGAATGGAAGGAGTATAGTATATATACCATCCTTGATTGAGACTGTAGTGCAGCCACAGTTTGTTTTCGTCTTTCATCACAAAACCATTGGGGAACCAAGATTGGCTTTTTCCTTCCCCTGTTGTCTTATGGTAAGAGATGACACCCCTCCCCCACCTCTGGCCCACTACCATGCAATCAGGTGTGAGTTGAGGGAGAGGCACTTGTGTACAGTGGTGGCCAACAGGGGGGTCTGGGCCACCAGTTCACCCAGCTCACTTGTATTCTCTAACCTTGACTTGTGGTCATTCTGGCTACAACACTTCCATATTCTGATGAATTGTGCTGGACCTCCTCAATCTCTTAACTTAATGGGCCTTTCAAAACGTAGAACATAATGGGCATCTCTGGGTACATAGTCTTTTGATATCCCATGATCAGGAGTTTTACCTCTACTATCACCAAGTTGCCTATAGGAGTTGTGCTTTGAATGGCCTATAATTCTCTGGTGCAGGTGGCATGGCCTTGCTTCAGAACACAAGTGTTATAAATTGTGTTTCTTCAACTTGGTATTGCCATAAATACCACATGGCACCATTTCCCACTGCAGACAACTCTAATATCAAAATGCCTGCTGGATCATAAATACTACCTGGCCCACATGACAAAAATGCTTTCATAGCTTTGTGGACCAGCTGCAGAGCCCTTTCCTATTCCTGTTTCCATTTCCAATTTAGGTACCACCCTAAATTGGTAGCTTTCTCTGTCATTTAGTAAATGAATCAAAGTGTGGATTACCAGGTATTTTAGTGATGGAAAGGTCAAGATTCAATAATCAGCCTTTTCTTTGGAAGTGTTATCCTGACATGTTCCAAATTAATGTACCCTTGAAACTTTTAGGATGTGACAGGGGTTCATTTTTGGGTCTATTTTCCACCATCTGGAGTACATGTGTCTTACTAAGGTCTCTGAAGCATTTGCCACTTCTTACTCATCTGGTCTGATTGACATGATGTCATTGATAGAGTGGGCCAATGTGATGCTCTGCAGAAGGTCCAGATGGTTCGGTTTCCGC